AAAAGAATATTTACAAAGTATTACATAGTAAATTGTTGACCAGTATTTAAGGAATATGTAAATTGATTTACAAAGGCTAGTGATGGTAGACTAACTTGATATTTTTATATTCAACTCTGTAAAAAAAAAAAAAGAAAAAAAAGGAACATATTCTACCATGCCATCGCTCATTGTATATATCAATATGGATTATGAAAATCCTAAAGACCTGACTGATAAGACTATTACATCAGGTTGAGTGCCATGTACTTGTAAATAATGTATATTATAATGTTCTATGTATGTTTATGACAATAAAATTTTGAATTTGCTGAGACCTTTGTTTTTCCAATTTATTTTTGAGTAATATGTTTATTATTGAGTAAATGATGTAAATAATTAAAAACTCCTGTAAATTCTGATCTATAACTGTTCTTTATATCTTAAAAATGTTTCTTTTTGATACATGAAAATGATAAAGAAGGCTTTTTTTTGAAGCATGTATCTTTTTTTATTATTATTATTTATTTTTAAGAAGTAAAACATTTATGTTGTAAGTATCAGTGTTATCTATTTAGCATGGAAGCTATATTACATAGTTTGTTGCTTTCAAATTTTCTTTTATCAAAGTCATATCAACATGAATTCTGTATATTGTCAAATTATTTATCTGTTACTGATTTATTTCAGGATATACAACAACTAGAGAGGAAAGGAAGAAAAATGAAAGACACGAAAAAATTCAACAATTTATTCTATGTACAAAATTTTTATGTACTTATACGTAGGAACCTGACATCCAGGAAAGGTCATCAAAATACAAAAATATTAATAGCATTGGGCTGACAGCTGTATGTGGCCTTATCGTTGTATTGGTACACACAGGGTAATGGCCTAAAGCTCTTCTCGTGCGTGGGATATTAGCATGTTTTAGGAAGCCGTCGGATGCACGAGAGAAATTGAAAGCGAAGTGATGGGCAGACACGGGGAAAACAAAAGCACGTTTACTAAAAAAAAAAAAAAAAAAAAAAAAAATTTCCTTCACCCTGTTGTTTTTTGGGTTTTTTTCTTTTTTTTTTTTCTTTAATAGGTTTGCCAACAGCTCACCGGTGTATTTCTGAAATAAGTATGGTTGTATTTTGAATTTAAGGATTAAGCTAGGTCAGAAAAGCAAGAAAACATGAAAAAGTTTTTACAGTAATATTAATAACCAGAACTTCCTTTACAAAATGCTCTTATTTTTGTGCAGGCCCTGTAAGGTACAAGGTATTAATCTTGTGTAAAACAAACAAACTGCTTTAAACGTTCATATCAATCCAGTGTCTATAAGAGCCTAATTCAGTACTGATTCCATGAAATAAAGATAATCAACCTCACGATAATAGCATTAGGTCATTACCTATCATTATTCTTGAATTTCTGTATTTGAAACCAGGCAATTTTGCAAAGACGTTGTTACATAAATAATTCTATAAATAAAAGTGGCACTTAAAATATATGAGAATAAAAGAAAAAAAAAATCTACATTTACATTCTTATACATAAGTCTTTCCCATAAAATTGAAAAAAAAAATGATTCCTACATACTTTAAAAGTAAAGACTGACAAGCAAATGAGAAATCCAGTTTGAATTCCATAAACAGTACATTAATTTCTGAAGCAATGGCACAAAATGGACACTTACGATAGGGTTATGGATGGAAAACAATAAAAATAAATATATAAATAAATAAAGATATTGCCACATTCAGTTAACACAGAAAGGCATTACATGCATAGAGAATGAATATAGATATTTTTTTCTATTAGGTATTAATACTTAAAAACATAGGTGTATTCGTGGAAATATAACTTGCAAAATTAATAGGCTGGTTATATAGAAGGTTAGTTTGTAATATAAAAGACACTCAAAAGGAATAATGTTTGCTAAAAGTAACTCTTTTCTTCAGATAACTTGCAACATTTATAAAATACACAATATTATAAACCATCAATTTTAACCTTTCAAAATTCTGTATATCATATCCTTTGTAAAGAAATGAAAACCACAATAATAAAATGCCTGTTTGTGTGTGTGCATGTAGTGTGTGTGTGTGTGTGTGTGTGTGTGTGTGTGTGTGTGTGTGTGTGTGTGTGTGTGTGTGTGTGTGTGTGTGTGTGTGTGTGTGTGTGCAAGTGTGTGTGTGTGTGTGTGCAAGTGTGTGTGTGTGTGTGTGTGCGCGTGTGCGTGTGTGCATGTGCGTGTGCATGTGCGTGTGTGTGTGTGTGTGTGTGTGTGTGTGTGTGTGTGTGTGTGTGTGTGTGTGTGTGTGTGTGTGTGTGTGTGTGTGTGTATGTGTGTGTACATGTGTACATGTGCATGCATGCTACATGTCTGTATATGTGTGCTATTCCATTAGCAAAAAGGTATGGACTGGCAACGCCTTGAAACCGCAGATCAAAATCACATACACTGGACTTTACAAAGGGAATGTTAGAAACACTAGCATGACAAATAGAATCTAGCTCATACATACACTACAAATTCAAAAGGACCTTGCATATTCAAGTGGTGTGAGAAGAAAAGCGAGAGCCCAAACCTCAAGGTTAATTTTCACGGTTCCAATTTAAGGAATCCTACCAAACGGACACCAATTTCAGAGAAAATCTTCTTAAGTCCCTCGTGGAGACGAAAGAAGAAGAAAATCGTGACGGATTTCCCTTTAAGAAACCCTGTAACATTTTTGGACCATCTTATATAGTATTAGAAAACAGTACACTCATAAAATTCAATGACAGGCTTTATTTTCTCCTTAAAAATATTGAGAAAAATAGATGTGCCCAGTTTTTCCCGAGCTCTGTTCTATATTCTGAGGCCAGACATAGAGCTAAATATCAGCTCGACGACCTCTGGGGGGGAATATTTTTTTTTATTTCACAAAATTACCTGATTACATTACAGAATATATCCAATCCATGAATCATTGAAACTCAAGTTCCTGGTATTAGCCTATTAGGATATCTTTAGTTAAAATATACTGAGATATCACTGTGTTTCAGTCTAACTGATTTTTAAGAAAGAAAGAAAAAAAAAAAGATATTGCCTATGGAGATCAAATGTATCATTGTTTTTTTTTTTTCAAATTTCTCTTCAATAAAATAATAATCAGAATCTAAATAACTAAATTACTAAAAATCAGAAGAATGTAATAGAAGACATGAGTTCAGAGTAGACTATTCCCAGGAAAATAATCAGTTTTGAATCCCTCTATAGAAGGATCTCATCATACAATCTATTAAGTCATAGACTGTGATAACTTCAGCTGACCAAGACTTTTGCAGACCTCTCTCAAAATTAACAAACTTTATGGAAAGTTTAGCATAAGCAAGGGGGAAAAAATTTGGAAAATAAAACGTAATGTAAATTATCAATAACTATCTACTCATTTCTTTCTTTCTTTTTACCTCCTATCACTTAGCAAAAAGTGAAAAAGGCAGCAAATTAGATATATATTTCCTCTCAATCCACTGAAATCTGCAGAGAAAAAAAATACTTTCTTTATTTTCCAAAACATCCATATACTATACTGATAAACTTATCTATAACCAAACCTAAACTATAAAAAGCTAAGCTTCGTGATCAACAAAAATAACGGCTATGAAATTAATTCTTTTATTGCCATTTCAAATATTCATTGCCTACAATATCAATATAATATAATATAAATTTGCATGTGATATCACAGCCCATCAAACCATAAACTGGCTACTTCCATTGTATGTAAAGCTAACTACAGTTTTATTTCCCTTCTTATGTCTTTATTTACACAAAAAACTACTTTTATATGATGCAACGACTTCTTCATCCAAAAGAGAAAAGGAGATAATGGAAAAAAATGCAAACTTGGATGAGTGAACAATATTTAACTCAATTTAAATCAGATGAAGGCAGAAGTTCATGCATAATTGGCATGCAAAGTCAAAACAAATCTTTAAATATGCCCGTAATAGTAATGAAGATAATAATGAATATAATACCAATGATAATAATAATGTTAATGATGACAATAATAATAACAATAATAACAATAATGATAATAGTAATAATAATAATAGTAATAATAATAATAATAAAAATAATAAAAATTGTGAAGAAGCCAGTTGCTTCAACATTGTAAAAAATATCTTCCCACCAAATTTATCTACTATTCATATATTTATTTGTTAGTGTATAATGAATTGTATTGTTAACTTTGTTAATCTAGAGTCCATTCCTCTTTCACACATCATAACATACATACATATTTCTGTACAACATTAAATCTTAGAAACAAGTTATATTACCTAGGTCACCTCTGCTAAAACCTTTTTAAAAACTCTGAATTGATTCCACTGGGCTGCAGAAGCCTTATCCATTTACTTACATGGAAGGGCTGTTTTCTACTCTGGTTCTTTGTGTTATTAGGGAACAATCGTTCATCCCCCGATATCCTTATCGCTGGAGAATATGAGATATGAGATGTGGTTGCATGGGCATTAGTTGCATTGAGTTCTTGCTCACTCAACCAAGTGCTTGCAACCTTTATATTTTGAGGAAGAACCTCTCTCTCTCTCTCTCTCTTTCTTTCTCTCTCTATGGCACTTTGATCTTTGTTTTGCTTTGCCATGAGAAAATGGATACCTTAATCTATCCATTATGCAGTTAACTTGTACATTGTCTACCCTTTTATATGGATTTCTAGCTAGTAACAGGTTATTGTTAGTATGAATAACAGCAAAGTTGAAAATCTGAGAAAAATAAAAAAAAAAAAATGCAAATCTGAAATACATATTTGAAAGTCAACTCAATAAGTACAAAGCTTTAATGTAATTAATCATAACTTTATGCACCAACTAAACAACAGATGGCATCATCCTTAATCTGTTTATATACAGTAACACCCCAAAAAAAAACATTATTGCTATTCAAATTTGCATTTCCAAGGGTCGTCATTTTCAACTTAGGGAGTTTAAATCATAACACATGGATAACAGTTTCTCGGATAACTAGAATATAACAAGAAGGCCCCATTAAGCTTACCATTTAAGTTACACTGTGACGCATCTTACACCCTAACCATTACTGCAATGGACCCTTATACAGCTGTAGTACAAAAAAACAGCATAGCAGCATACAGAGCTACAGAAAAGTGTAGCCCTCGGTAGTCGTTTGTATTCCTTACAGAGCTGGTTTACGTTTCAGCTTCCATTTTGATACCTAAAGATTTTTCTCTACTGCTGGGAATATAACTAGAGAAAAAACTTTTGAAAAAATAGTGACAAATGACTTCCATGAATAAAAGGCTGAAAATTTCATAAAGTATAAAATCTAAGCAGGCTAAAGTTTTGAGTTCTAGTGGACATACATACATATTCTTCCTCCTTTCCTTTTTTTTCATTTTTTTTCTCTCAGGTTACATACAAAATCCTGACTTCTTAAGCAGGCACTCTCTGAACACAACAGAAAGGTCTAAAGAAAAGTTAAGTAATTACCTCAAGCCCCATTCATCTATATACCCCCAACCTTTCTCACAAGGCAACTGTATATCTAAAATATAAATACAGCATAAGAATACAAATAATGCTATACTTGTAACTTCCTTGTTGAAGAATAATAATATGTCACAAACCATCCATATGTGGACCTTTCATAGTAGTTAAAAAAAAATGATCAAAATTGTATGAAACAGGTAATTACCAAACACATCCCCAGACCTTTCGACTCTCCTGAAATCTAAAGTGACGAGGGCTTAAGATAGAGGTACTGTAGAGGTCAGTGCAGTTGGGGACACAAGTTCCTTGGATAATGACGGGAGGTCTTCGGACAGGAGAATGCTTGGCTGAATTCCTTAAGCTGAGACAACACTGCCTCCAACCTGGAATGCATGGGAGAAGTTTAGCTGGTTCCTCTCTCTCTCTCTCTCTCTCTCTCTCTCTCTCTCTCTCTCTCTCTCTCTCTCTCTCTCTCTCTCTCTCTCTCTCTCTCTCTCTCTTATTATCTCTCCCTCTCTCTCTTCCTCTTCCTCTTCCTATTCCTCTCTCTCTCTCTCTCTCTCTCTCTCTCTCTCTCTCTCTCTCTCTCTCTCTCTCTCTCTCTCTCTCTCTCTCTCTCTCTCTCTCTCTCTTCCTTTAGCTTTCTCTCTTCCTCTATCTCTCTCCCTTTCCCTTTCCCTTTCCTTTTCCTTCTCCCTCTCTTTCCCTCTTTCCTTTCCAAACTATATCCATTTCCCTACTACTTTCTCACACCCTCATTCTCATCTTCTTACCCTTATCCTTTCCCATTAGCCTTACCTTCCACTTTTCCCCTCACTCCTACACACACACACACACACACACACACACACACACACACACACACACACACACACACACACACACACACACACACACACATACATCCATTCCTTCTATACCTCCCTCTTCTATTACATTTAATTTCATCCTCCTTCTTTCCCTCACTTCCTACTTCTCAGTCTTCATTTACTAAGTGCAGGTGGAAACGTACCTAGGTTTATTCATCAGTGATGAGTTACATGTCCGTTCTATGTCCTCTTGCTGCATTGCTGTGTCTGAACATAAACTCTGAAGAATACAGGTTCTATTAGTATAAGATATAATACAGGTTCTATTAGTATAAGATATAATACAGGTTCTATTAGTATAAGATATAATACAGGTTCTATTAGTATAAGATATAATTCTAAAGTATCAGATTATCTGTTCATCATTGCCAGAACTTCTCTGTGTGATTATCATATTTATTCAACAACGAAAGAAAACATTATACTGATGTATGAAAAATAATTCAAACAAGCTGTAATACCACATATAATACAAATTCTTTCATGAAATTTAAACTATTATATCTATTTTCTTTGTATCTTTTCTTAATAGTAGATTTAGAGGAACTTCCTACCCCTGCATATGACATGAAGAAGATATTTGTGGTGTTCATGCTTTCAAAACTTGGATGCTGCGGCTGTGGCTCATTTTGCATCAGAGAGAGGTATGCCTAGAAAACAAGAAAAAATTAATAATGGAAGAAAATTTAGGCCTTTGTTTAAACTATGATTTTGGAGTACAATTAAAAAGGGACGTCTGATTCAGGTCACATACAACAACTGTTAATAATTAATTTCATTCTCATAAAAGACATACGTGTAATATTAATTTTGAATGGTACTTCTCTTCATGACTTAATACTTAATATATGGCTAACCCATTTTCAAATACTGTACTGTTTTCCACTTTCATAAAATCTGTGTCTGATTACTGGATCTTCTTTGAATACCTACTCACACAATCAACAACAAAGATGATTCACTTTCTCTTTCCAGGTTAATTTTTCACACACTGATAAGGTATGGGCACTAATGACCTACCTGGTAAGTCTGCCGCACAGCATCAACCTCTGCAGCTGTGTCAAGGGAGGTTCTGTCTACAACGGCATCAGTTTCTATTGAGAGTTCCATAGTGGCAGTGGCAACACAGCCTGCCATGCTT